GACCCGGCGGGTCACATGATAAACCAGCGTTTATTTCCCCATAACGATAACAAGATCCACATTCAGTCCTTATATTTACATTGGTTTATCTTTTCTGATAAATTACGCTAAAGGTACAGAAAGACGTAAAGCTCCATTCATTTCATTATGTTGTCTTTATACTTGACAGTTTGGAATTTGTTTGGTCCTGACTGAAATGAGTATCGTATAAAATAGAATTGTGAACGCAACAGTGTTGATTTGTTGTGATCTTGTTGCGTGCTTAGCGTCTCTGTTGCTTATCAAATTATCGCAGGTATTCACAGAGAACAGTGGCGATTCCAGGAAATATCAGGTGAGGGGGCCGAGCAGGTGCCCACATCGGGCCGGGTGTCTTTATAAACCTTTACTTCTATTGTGATGATGAGTTCAATTTAGATTATAAATTTTGATTCACATTGAAATTCGGTAGCTAAATGTTTTAGTTTTAGACTTCAGATTGATTTTACCAATGATTTAAGGTTATAGAAACTGAGAATAGTTGATGTAGATTTTTTGATTAGGCAGAAAATTCTCGCAAAATTATACAACATTATTTGATTCGCAAATCTTCATGCTGAATATTAATTTCGGCGAATCATGGAAAATTATTGGGAATGAAAAGGGGTCATTTTGACTCGCAAACTGCGATACGATCACCGCTAAATTGAACCGTGTTGTGGTGATTTGGATTTTAATGGATACCACAAAGCAAATATGGGAAAATATGATTCTTGGTTAATTGATCATATTTACCTCTATCATGATGTGGGGTTGGCATTATTTTACAATCTCTGATTTCGTAGGAACTCTTTGTCAAACATGTCTCAATTTTTTTATACCTTTTTTTTCCACGAAACATGTCTCATTTTATACCATTATGCTCAAAAGTACAAAGGCTTTGAATTCTGACTTAAGTTTATCATTTACTCAACGTTCAGGAAGATTATGACCTGTATTATATAACATCCTGGTCTTTTACCTAGGTTACATTATATTATAAACCCATGATAAAGTCGAGTATTAGAGGTAATTGAATTATGTCCCTTGAATAGTAAGAGGTACAAGGAATCACTTCACTAATTCAAATTGAATCAGAATCTTTCTACATGTATAATGTTAAAACACAAAATCAACCTTCTATATTTTTCCAGAAATCTCATCACATAAAGACCTTGCCAATACTTCCAGCGATTATTAGGGGGTTTTCTAGACATTTTATGTGCAATAGGGACATATTTGACTTCTATTTGGGACATTCCAATTCTTCGTCCTATGCCTGTGGTTCCTTCAATTCCAGAATGTGTTAACCGGAAATGGCGTAGCTCTTGCAAGAGAGTTCGTAACCATTATACGGACTCACTAAACTAATTGATTTGCCATCTCTTCCCATGTTATTACACTTAATTCAACCATCTATAACTTTTTCCAGAAATCTCGTTGAAAGCTTCCCAATATGTCGAATGAAAGCCTGACCAATTCTCAATGTCTCCTAAAAAATTCATTATATGATGACCATGAAAATTTTGAGCTACTAAAATTGAAAGTAGACTACTACCGGTTATACTCATCCGCTAGAGTTTGGCAGTTCACAAAACGACTATTTTTAGAATTAGCCTTCCGCCTTTAGGTCTCTCATCATCTCACCAAATCTTAAAGATAATGCAATAGCAGACATCAAATTCCAAATCTAGACCAAATTTTACCCAAAAATAGGCATGCAAAAACCCCAAAAGGGAGAGAGAAAGAAGATTTCTAAAAATAGCCTGGACTACATTCATTTGCATGAAATGTTTTTGTGGAGTGAGTCCATACCACCAGGCCACAATAACATAATAATGTATATTATCTCCCTTTACAAGATGGCGGCATTTCTAACTAAAGAAATAATGACTCATTCACATTTTGCTTAACCTTGCCTTATAAAACTCTTTACTACGTCCTTTATTGCTCGGTTTTAACAAAATGGAAGAGTTGTATGATATTTGTTAAATTCAGAGAGATAAATATCATAGTTTATGATAAAATGGTCGGTTTTAAATACAGCGAGGCGATCATTTTGTAAATCAAGTTAGTCCAGTGGATAACAAATATCATTACTTTATTGTGGTCTGGTGTCCCAAATACACATAAACCTCTTTACAATTCCTTTAAATAAAGTCAAAAAATGTGATATACAGGCTCATTCCAGTAATTCAAATAGGACCTTCTAAAACTTTCTTCCCGACCCTGAACCTACGTCATATGAAGACCATTTGCTATCTGGTCCAAATTAAGTAAGATGATTGTAAATAACAATTTAGACAAGTTATCAAGTTAGGGTGTTCACTTTATAAATTATTAAAATTACATCCATATTATAATAACACTTCTATATGTCTTACAAAGAATAGACCTATATTATACTGGTCATATTAAAACTTCTAATAGAGTACATCTATATTTCGTACTTCATAATCTGTAATCTAGGGTAGTATTTTTTCTGTGTTTTATAACTTTTTAAGTTGTTATATAAAAATCAATGGTTTATGATGTTTCTGTCAAGGATATAATAGTTGCAGGAATTCTAGATTGGAACCTGCAGAGACTTTTGACGCCATTCTTCCTCTTTCTCTTCATATTCCACAGTTTTATAGTCGGTTTTATTACATCTTTATAGGCTACTAATTGTCTTTTTATTGAAACACTTCAATCGACGAGATTTATTGCCAAATCAGCAAAAAATTTACTACAATATGGAAGTTTTTTGTCTCAATTATGTACTTTTTTGCAGGATTTTTCTGCCATTCTCAATTTTTTTTTGGCCTCGTGTAAAAGAATCTCTTGTGATATTAAGAGTTTGTACTATAATAGAAAAAACAGATGAATTATGATCGTTAATACTACTTAATATAACTGAAAAATTATTAGGCCTGGCAGGAATTGATGGTCAACATAAACGAGTATATCGTGTACTCAGAATGAAGTTAGACTTATATTGAAATGTAATATAGTTTATCAGTTTAATGGTGGACCTGTTTACATGAAACCCGCGACAACGTGCACTTTGTTTATGTTATTTATATTGCTGTTATTTTAATGTTTATTCCGAATGTATCATAATGCCCACCAGTAAACTTTTAACAAACGTTCTGAACTCTCCTCGAAGAGTAGACACGATAATAAGTTCTACTTGTCCAGTAAAAGACACAGACTGAATTATATAGGTCAGTTGTCTGAAGATCACATAGCGTCAAACTCTTGAGTAATAACACCATGTTTTTTTTAGTTTCCGTTTTGATATTTCTGTTCCATATTTATATATTTTATACTCCTATCCTCCTACAATCTTTTCAATTTATTGCAACCCCTCCCCCCCCCCCTCCCCCTGAATATATCATTGTATTGTTAATCCTCTTGTAGTAATTTCTATACACCATAAGTGACATGGTCTTCTCTGATTCTTTATTATTTGGGTTCAGAATTGGGTCCATAATACTAAAGTGTTACATATGTATAATGTCCTGCCCCACCCCCCCCCCCCCCCCCTTTCAAAAAAAGAAAAAGAAAAAGAAAGGGAGACATAGTTATTTATATAATTTTTATATCCCTAGGGGTGGACAACAACAAGAAGAACAGTTAAGAAGAGGATATCTGATTCAAATACTTAAAAGTTTTTTAAATCGGCGACAGGAGGACGCGACAGAGAAACGGTAAGAAACCTCCATTTCATAATAAACCATAAAGCCATCATGCTTTAATTACATTAAAATAAATCATTTTTTTTTTCAAAAAAGTATGGCGACTGGCAGTATTTAATTTGGCATTGACAGTCAGACTTTTGTTTGATAATTAATTTTAGTCTTATAAGAGCATGATAGCTTTAAATCGCTCAGGAATGGAAAAAGAGTTGAAAATGAACTCGAAGATGTTTCCTATCTTAGTACGTGTAACAGAACATCTTAATCTTGGCTTTAATTTATTCCAATTCTCAGTCTGTAGATCCCGTAATTCTAGAATGTGTCACATAAAAAATAACCTCAAATTTCATTTACCTTGAATAGTGTTGTCAATGGGTCGCCAGTCTCCCAAGACTAAACTGTCTAGACTGAATTCAAAATGCGGCAACTCTGTAGAGGCGTCATATTGCAATTCTATCATTTACGGTTCTCTCAAGAAAATTTTCGAAACATTAAAAAATAGAGTGGGGTATAATTGGGGCTGGAAATAATTTTGTTCCAATGTCTTTAAAGATGAGTTTCCTTATTTTTTAGTGTCAAATTAAGCAAACTATACATGTCCATGTATGTTCAGTCTGGAAAAACAAAAAAAAAAACTCTTTGACCTTTCTTGATCGGTCACTCATGGGAATTCTGCTGGTCATTCTCTTCTAATTATGAATTAATTATGGTATTTTTCCGAGTCATTAGAACTCCTCTACTTTCGATTCATATAAGTATTAGCATTTTCATTTTCATAAATGAAAATAAGGGAACCCATCTTTAAATCATGTAAATCCTAGCCTAAAAAATGTCAGGTATTTTGCAGTAGAAGAAATTCGTGCTCCGTCTAGCAGACCGTCTATTGGTTTACTATATTGGTCAACTTTTATTTCAGTAAACGTTCGTGTAACCTAAACCTTGGTTTCCACTGTCAAACAGACGAATATTCTTCTATCGCTGATATGTATGATTTCCTTCAGAGTGCTCTCAGTCCCGGCAAGAGGAAACGAAACGTGAAAATTGTCTCTATTGAAGGATCATAAGGTTGGTGATCATTTTGTTAATCTCCGAATATCTCAAAACAAAGCATTAAAGAGAGAGATTGGCCATTTTCGGGAGTTGATTTTAGTCTTGAATATATGTAAAAAGTATTCAGAAGTACTACATGTGTACGGAAATTACACAATTCCTTTACAAATATCTCAAAATAGCAATTTTACTCACTATTTCTATGTATCAAAGAGTATCTGAAACTGACGAGTCGTCATTTTAACATTCAAACGCAGATAATTCTGGACACACGTGGATTTGAAGGCTTAAATTTCGACTGTGAGCTGTGAACAATATAGTATTAGTGATTAGCTAAGCTAAACAATTCCAGTCCATGAATGGCCCACATGTTCCAGTAACAATAACTACGATTTGATGCTTTGTTTTCAATAGCTAAGATATTTAGCTATTTAGTTTTAGGGCTAGGGGTGGAACAAATACTTCATTAAGAAAATAGAATAACAGTCAGAGAATTAAGTATTAATGATAAACCCCAATCAACCAACCACAGCAACGAAGGTATTGTGAAAACCTGTGGTCAATAAACGTTTCCCAATTTTATACTTCCGGTTGGTGTAGTTTGGTCGTTGGGATTTAATATATACCTTTAGACTAAACAACTCCAAGTGGGCAAGCTATTATAAGCTATATCTTCACAATGTCCAGCTATTACGAACTTCATCTTCACAATGTAATAGCTTGACATTGTGAAGATGAAGTTTGTAATAGCTTGGCATTTGAAGATGAAGTTAGTAATAGCTTGGTATTTGAAGATGAAGTTAGTAATAGCTTGACATTGTGAAGATGAAGTTAGTAATAGCTTGACATTGTGAAGATGAAGTTTGTAATAGCTTGACATTGTGAAGATGAAGTTTGTAATAGCTTGACATTGTGAAGATGAAGTTTGTAATAGCTCGACATTGTGAAGATGAAGTTAGTAATAGCTTGACATTGTGAAGATGAAGTTTGTAATAGCTTGACATTGTGAAGATGAAGTTAGTAATAGCTTGACATTGTGAAGATGAAGTTTGTAATAGCTCGACATTGTGAAGATGAAGTTAGTAATAGCTTGACATTGTGAAGATGAAGTTTGTAATAGCTTGACATTGTGAAGATGAAGTAAGTAATAGCTCGACATTGTGAAGATGAAGTTTGTAATAGCTCGACATTGTGAAGGTGAAGTTTGTAATAGCATGACATTGTGAAGGTGAAGTTTGTAATAGCATGACATTGTGAAGATGAAGTTGGTAATAGCTTGACATTGTGAAGATGAAGTTTGTAATAGCTCGACATTGTAAAGATGTAGTTGGTAATAGCTTGACATTGTGAAGATGAAGTTTGTAATAGCTTGACATTGTGAAGATATAGTTTGTAATAGCTTGACATTGTGAAGATGAAGTTTGTAATAGCTTGACATTGTGAAGATGAAGTTTGTAATAGCTTGACATTGTGAAGATGAAGTGTGTAATAGCTTGACATTGTGAAGATATAGTTTGTAATGACTTAACATTGTGAAGATGAAGTTTGTAATAACTTGACATTGTGAAGATGAAGTTGGTAATAGCTTGACATTGTGAAGATGAAGTTTGTAATAGCTTGACATTGTGAAGATGAAGTTTGTAATAGCTTGACATTGTGAAGATATAGCTTGTAATGACCTAACATTATGAAGATGAAGTTTGTAATAGCTTGACACTGTGAAGATGAAGTCTGTAATAGCTCGACATTGTGAAGAAGTAGTTGGTAATAGTTTGACATTGTGAGGATGAAGTTTGTAATAGCTTGACATTGTGAAGATGAAGTTTGTAATAGTTTGACATTGTGAGGATGAAGTTTGTAATAGCTTGACATTGTGAAGAAGTAGTTTGTAATAGTTTGACATTGTGAAGATGTAGTGTGTAATAGCTTGACATTGTGAAGATGTAGTTGGTAATACCTTGGTATTTGAAGATGACATTCTGTGGGTCTGGATTATCAAGACAGTTGTAGTAATCAAAGTTTTTGACTTCAACATCTGGCCCACAGTTATTATTACTTACAGAAACCTTATGATAAAACTGAATAGATATGAAACTATTTGTTTGATATATATTTATTGTTATTGAAAGACAAAAGGTATGGACAAAATATCAAATATACAAAAACCATACTGCTCCCCATATTAGTGCTAGTATAAATCAAAGTGTCTGCCCAGTAAATAGAACAGGAGCCTTAATCTTGAAAACGTATAGGGACAAGAGCGTCATTTAGGGGGTTGATTTGAGTCTTGATGTAAATAATTTTCAAATGTATTAGAAAATTGTATAATTCCTTAAAAATATCTCAAACTAAGAATTTCTTTTCCTATTTCTATACATGACTTTTCTATGTATGACAGTGTCTCAAGAAATGACGACACGTCTTTTTAACTTTCAAACGAGGATAATTCTGGACACACATGTATTTGAAGGCTTAAATTTCAATGGTGAACTGTGAACATTATTACTGATCGGCGTAGCTAAAATTCCCGTTTCTGAGACTAAAATATGACGCAATTGTCCCTTCAACTTCAGATGATTTTAATGTTCAAGTGATTTTAATGTTCAAGTGATTTTAATGTTCAAGCGATTTGATTGGTCAATCACAAATCGATGTTAAATTTAGTTTTATTATCCATCGGATTACAGTATTTTTTCAAGTCTTAATATCATCTTTGTAAAGTTTTTGAGAAGAAGGCCCCAGTTCCAAAATACTTCAAAATTTAAATCCGACTTCCAGTTGGAATTGGTTCACAGATCTGCAATCTGCAAAACAACAAACACCAAGTTCCTGGAAACCTGATCCTTTTAGAATGGATTAATCGACTCACAATCAATGTCGGAAAAATTACGTTATGTCAAGATTCCAACATTCTTGTCGACTACGCTACATCCCGTCCTTAAAGTGGAATACTTCTGTTAATAGACAGACACCACAAACTCCCGTCTAATTGCGAATGAATAAAAAAACAAACACCAAAGCAATGAGACGACGATCTCCGCATGTTAGTAATATTACAAAACAAAAAAATCCAGCAATAATTCACCATAATATTCACAATAGCCAGATTTTGAATAATAATCTTTTTTTACAATAGTTGTGCCTAGACCCCCGACCCCACACCCTGTCCAAAAATAAAACGTTTTGTGGTCTGTGTAGTATTTGGTAGCCGTTAAAGATTGGTAATCTAATTTTCATTTAAAAGGAAAGAATATTGCAGAAATTCGACATTTTGCTTTACCGTAACTCAAAGTCTTTTTAAGACAAATGCAAAGCGTAGTAAAACGTAACTGGTGTAAAGTCTTAACTACAAAAATATGAAATTGCACATAAAAATGAGAAAGTTGTCAATGGCAATTACACGTGATAATATAATGAAACGATAAGAAACGACACTGTCCATTGGTTGAAACTTGAGAGATGAACTCCAGATACTGCCGAAGTTTGATTCCGTTGGATCTCTTCAATCAACTGACAAGTCGAACAACAGTGAGTTTTGGTGAAGTCGCCACACGCAGTGTATTCAGATACTTTGATATTTTTACAGACCGGTGTTCTATCACCAAACATGCAGTCTGAAAGAAATCAAACAGTTTTTTTAATTTAAGTTTTACGTCAATGTCATGCAGTGTGTGATGAGGCAAATTATACTACGACAACGACAATAACAAAGAGTGTTTCCTCCCATTTTTCAACTACGATTGGAGACGGGACAATGCCATGCAGTGTGTGATGAGGCAAATTATACTACGACAACGACAATAACAAAGAGTGTTTCCTCCCATTTTTCAACTACGATTGGAGACGGGACAATGCCATGCAGTGTGTGATGAGGCACATTTTTATGTCCAACTTTACAACTACGATTGAAGACGGACAATGTCATAAGTGTTTAACGAGGCAAATTTTCCCAGGATAGCACCAATACCCGAGAGAGTAAACATTCAAAGGTTGTATAGACTCCTCGAATGAGAAATACCACCAGGATCTATCAGCTAAAAGCCGTTTAAACAACCAAATTCTATTGTCAATTCTTTTGTTGCCTTTTCTCTGAAAGGTAACTCTTCCTTTCTATATTGAAATATAGTAAAATGTGAACCAACCTATCGTTTTCAAGTCGCTGTGAGAGTAACATGTCTTGCAGCAGGTCTTGTTGACATCACTCTCATAACAGCTGCGTTTACCGTGTTTATCTACGTGTTGAGGACAACTCAATGTTCCTATACCACTGCCGTCTATACAGTCAGCAGGTGCTTGCGGTTTAACAAGGTCGTTACAGCTCTTACAACATTTGTTTATTGTGTCTTCGTTACATTTTGATAAACCATTGAAATTGCTGGCTGAACATAGTTCGTCTTTATCACCATATGGACAACCTGGGAATAAAATAAGAGACGGAAAAGTTGAATAATGTTATTGAAAGGAGAAAATTCTCGTTATTCATTTCTCGTGTTACACATAATTAAGCACATTAAGCAGTGTGTTGTTTAGAATTTAGGCTCTCGTTTTCTCGGTTCTAGTCGTTAATACTTGTTTTTTGTTTTATTATATAAGGATTTCATTTAATAATCAGTGTATAATAACGAAACGTTGCGTAAAACTTGTACTATAACAATGTAATGGAAGGATAACAATCGTAAAATAAGAATAATAAGTTTCCTATCACCAAAGCGATTACCAGTTGAGTATGTTTGCAAATCAATCAGTCAATAAGTTTTTGATACAACTCTCATGCACCTGAATTGTAAGTCGAGTTCGGTAATCAACTGGTAATCATTTTGGTGTGAGGGCATATTTAAAAATGACAAAAAAATCTAAAAAAAAAATCGTTTTGATCAGGTCAAATTTTGCAAAAAATGAAATGAATGGAGTTTTACATCACTTTTCTGCACCATGTGGGCTATTGAAGACTGGAACTCCATGCAGGGTACAATGAAGGCAATTTTGCCAGGGCAACGGCATTATCCTTCTCTTTTTCAATTTCCAACTGTCGAGGGATCTTTAACATGTACAGCCTGTAGCACATGGGGCCTTGGTTTATTTTCCCATCCGAAAGACAAGACGCTTTTTCCATGTCAGCCCCTCTTACCTGCATCACTGACAGGGGGAAACCGGGTTGAAAAGTCCGACGATATCATCTTAACCTATGCCGGGATTGAATCCTGGACCTTTAGATTAGCGAGCAAGCGTCTAAATCACTGAGCCACCGCGGCTCCAAAATTGTATTTGAATGTGAAGTACCTGGTATACTGGTGTCAATTAAAGTCCTGCAGGTTTCACAACAAGCCGACTTGACAGAATCATCGTAACATCTCCGTTTTCCATTTTGCTCAAGGTATTTTTGACAGGATAAGCCCCCTAATCCACTGCCATCCTTACAACTAGTAGTGGGATCTTGGGCTGTTGAGGTTGCACTGGCTTCTGAAGACGAAGTAGGATCTTGGGCTGCCGAAGTCGTAGGTGCATCCGTTGTGGTAGGTGTCGCAGCTTCGGTGGTATGTGAACACGTTTCACAGCATTTATCATCATATGGAATCTCACCTCGTACACTAACCCCGCATAAATCCACATCACAATCTGGTGACTGGTCGCCGTACAGGCAGCCTGAAATATAAAGGAGCGTGCGTTCAATTTTTATAGTGGTATTGATAAACCAAACCACCTGCAGTCTACGTCCAAACTTCTGCGAGCACAATCTATACTTAACTTTCTTACCTTTCTACCAAAAATGACGCTATAACCTTTTTAACCAGTTCGTTGCGTTCTAGTTATAGCATGTTAAAAGCAAATATAATAAGATAAAGTCGCAACTTTGTGGGATGATGATTTAGAATGCTGAAATTATTTATGAAAGCCAAAAGTGATGAAATTAAAGCTATTATTATTATTATTATTATTATTATGTCAATACAGGCAAAGTATATAACACAAAGTGAGCAGTATTTTTGAAGAAATCATGAGACCGGAACAGGAGAGAAAAGGATTATGACCACTTTTCAAAGAAACAAACAAACAAACAAACAAACAAAAGTTGTTTGTGAAATTACTTACCACTTATACTGGTTTATCACTCGTTTTGGGAAATTAAGAAAAGAACTTAAAGGAAGTAGGATTTACCGGAAGGAAGGAGGTCTGCATGCAATTAGATACAAACAGAAAGGAAAACCACAAGGGTTCCATGCAACCTTACTAGTAATTGAACCATGATGGTATATATAGATATTTGATAAAGGGTGGAAAGTATCACATTTGACATCAGAGGTTTTTGGGGTAAGGTGATTTAGGGTTGCCCGAGAGATGAAAAGGGGGTAATATAATGAAAGTAGAATTTGATTAAGAACTAAAATTAAAATACAGTAATATAACTAACTAACTAATACTATATTAGTAAATTCTACACCTAAATTAAAATTAAATTGATTTAGATTGAGAACCCCGATATAAGACCATAACCCATCTTCTTTTGCTAAAACATATCAACCTATTACGAACTGCGTCTTATACCTTGACTGCAACACCTTTCAATTATCACGGCAGTTTGTACACTTTTCGGGAAGCGAAAATATCGAAACATCCCGAAACAAAGAAAAATACAGGTAGAATTCGTGGACAAATCAGGTTATGTTTATACATATTTTCTATCGATGACTCTTATTGGTTGTCTGTATTCGCTGGCGTAAAATCCAATCAAATCTCTGTATTCCGTGATACAATAATGGTGACTATTACAATCAAGGTGTGAGACTAAGTTCGTTGACATTGTCGAAGATGTGTGTAAAACATCGTTTCATGTCCTCTTTCGGAAGCCATTGGAGCCATTGAAGTTGTAAATAAGTACTGTTTCGTAGGCAGAAATCTGATTAAAATGCAGATCTCGATTTATATTCGTTTCGTGATATCACTTACTATCCATGATCTAAAGAAATTATTATACAACTGATGTTCTGCGTCATTTTACATTACCAATGACCCTTAAATTTTAAAATGTGTGGAATTCTTGGATACCTTTTGTAAAACATAGATCTAACTACTTAAAAGAAACAATGACGAAACGAAAACATCCGTATCTACAATTTAATTAGATTAAACAACCACCACTATAAAGATTTCCCACAATTAACAGGTGCGCGAAAAAATAGCTATATTAATATAAATAGAAGCAATATTAATAGATCCGTTCTAATCTGATGAACGTTCAAGATGAAACTACTGTAATACAAGAGTAATCCCTATATTTAAAACCAATATAGAAACAATGCTACAATGACTAGCGGAATTTATAGTGCCATCCCCACTAGGTGATCCGGTATCCCCGAAAGATCTCGTGGTTTTGCTCCAAGTGGTTACACCGGATGTGACCTGCCTATTGGCACAGATTTCACAACACACGTCGGAATATCTCTTGCCATTCTTTAAAGATGAGCCACATAATTCAACAGAACATTGTTGGCTTTGATCACCGTATTGACAACCTATAGA